CTCTTACTTAAATGGATAGATGCCTCTTCCCTTTGCCAGACACTAGGAATACAAAGAAAAACAAGTTTCAATCATTATGGACTTGAAGAGAGAAAGAAGGCAGAAGTGTAAATAATCTCTGAAAGGTGGTAAATATTGTCAAGGAGCCATGGGTGAGGTGCCAGGGAGTACAAAGGATGCACTAGGTGCTGCTGGGCAGTATCAGCAGTGGCTTCCCAGAGGTGGTGACATTGGAGTTGGGACTTAAAGGATGAACTGAAAGCTCTTCAGGTAAATAGGTGAGGAAAGGGTATTGTAGCTTCTCTTGGATGGATATGTTTTTGGCATTTTCTCATTTACTACTACTTCTGATACTTTCTACAAGTATCACTGTGACCAGCTTATAATATACAACTATTTCATTTTTCTTGCTTTGTTATAATAATCTCCCATTCTTAAAGGAAATGTCAGACTGTAAATTCTGTGCCGACTCTTTAAAGGAAACGGCATCCGTATCTGTTCCTACTTAGCTTTTCCCAGTTGCTCTTCTACAGTATCCTTTTTTTTTTCTTGTCTTGAAAGAGATCCCTCCTTTCACTAGTCATCAGTTTTAAACATGTGACTAGTCACCACTTCCCCAATTTTGAATGGATTAATTCATATGACCATATCTGAAAACTTTCTCCTACTTTCTTCAATAAAGGGTATTCTTTGCTTCTCAGATGCTAAGCACAACTTTTATTTATCCCTAATTTTACTGTCATGCCTCTGGTCTGTATTTCTTAAATGAGGTAAGTAACAGGGATAGAGCTGAACCACCTACTCCTGCAGGAGATGCTCTTACCCACCTTGCTATTTTTCTCTCATTAGCGATACTAACTGTCCTGTCCTGCCCTGCTCTGTGGGTACATGCTTATCTATAACAGAAACTGGCATTTGAAATTTGAAACAAAATATGATGATTACATTTCATGTCGAAGCCTATCACAAGAATTTTCATAAGCATTAAGTAAAATTTTATGGCTACAGTCCAAGGACCTTCTCCCTGATTTGGGACCAGTCTAAATATTGTAAGGTGGAAAAAAAAAAGTCTTCTACAGAATATAAATGTCTCTAAGCTAAAAAATGTGGATTTACAAATAAAAGTTGTATAGACAGAAGCTTGGTCGCTTTCCTGTGTGTGTGTTTGGAGGGTAGGGGCAGATGATGGGTGGTGGTGTTTCTCCAGGGACTGACCCTGAGTGCAAACGTTCTGCACAATTAGCCACAGCTGTGTTGTTGGAATGAGAAAAAAGATCCAAAGTTCATTTCAGGTTCACAGAGTAAACATCCATTTCTGATCTGTGACCTATATTCTTGTTTTTGGTATTTTAATTACATTTCATCATACTTCCAGGTAAAAACAAACAACAGGCATATATAAATATCCTTCCAGTACTTAGAATGGTCTGAAACCAGAGGGAACGTCTCCAACTTGTAACTTGCATAGATGTTTTTAAACATGAAAATTTTGCACTTATCCTCTTCGTTGTATATAAATAGTGACTGGAGAAAAAAATAAAAAATGTTCACTAGGAATTAAATCCATACCAAGAAACATAGATGCATAAAATATGTTTTAGCCTACTAGAAATGAAAGAACCTGTGGAATAGGTGGTGTATCTATGGGATGCTGAAAGGATGTAACAACATGAAAGAAGCCCCTTTCATTCCACCAGGTACCATTTTAAATTTAACTTCATACTTGCACATACATCCTCAATTCAGGGGACAATTTGAGGATTCTAATAAAAGTAACACATTTGAAATTTCTATCCAATTTCATTGTATATTAGAAATTCAGAACGCAGAATAGACTTCAGCTTTCACAGAACAGATGTAAAAAAACCAGCAAATATCCAGGAAATGAGACGTCTATAACATCTCTCAGTAATTCTGCCTCATGATGCCCAGGTATTTTTCACTATCGGTAACGTTTTATGCCTACACTTGGGTGGCATTGTGCTGAGCATAACATGAAGTGAAACAGGTCTTGGAACTGAAAATGTGTAAGTTAATAAAAACTTGAGAGGATTTTAGATAAATGAGATGAAAATTTTCTCAGTCCAGTGAATGGATCTCATTGCTCAAATTTTCACAATTTAAAAAATCTCAGTTAACACAATTTTGAATTCTCTATCAAAAACTATTCTATACCTTGACACAATTTCATCGTCTTTGTTTTGAAGTTACTTATATTAAAGTCCAAACAAATAGGGTGGTTTAAATGTGTGGGTCATTTGTGAATTCGTTTCTTTTTAAAATATCACACCATAGTTTAACTCAACAGCACATTTCAGGACATTGCAACTAGATGAGATGCAATTAGATCATTATTGACAAAAGGTTTCAAAGCTATGTTTTCTGTCTCAAGGAATTAGGCATTGGGGATAAGTTGCAGAGCAGGACAAATGGGATACCTGCCCCTTGGTTCTTACTTATCAATATTTCACCTTTATTTCAAGGTCCAGCCCAAGACTCCTGTTCTTACGTATCATTCCTCTTCTCCATACCCCTAAGGTATTGGTTATGTGACTGCTTTTTCTTCTAGATGAAATAGGTGGAATTAACCAACCCTTCTTTCCTCCCTCCCATCCTTCCTCCTTCCATCCTTTCATTCTTTCCTTCCTTATTTTTCTTTTATCCTGTAGTATATTTGCTGAGTTTAATTCCATTTATTTTTATCTTACTTATGGTTGACTTTTTTTTAAATTTTTTATGAAAAATTTAAGAATACACAAGAATCACAGAGTATAATGAAGCTCTATGCATCCATTTCCAGTTTCCCTGATTACAGTTCTAACAATCTCATTTAATCTTATCACCCATTTAAAATTAACTTTTTTACATTCAATATTGTTTTATATTAATTTCAGGTGTACAGCATAGTGGTTAGCTATTTATATAATTTAAGAAGTGATCCCTCTGACTAGTCTAGTACCCACCTATCATTATACATGGTTATTATATTATTGACTATA